CGGGGAGGGGGGGGGGTGGGTGGAGGGGGTGGGAAAGCCAGAATTTTTGGTGGAGGCATTGTGCAAGGTGAGCAATACTATGTAGTGGGGAGGCGGGGGGAGAATACGAATGGTACAGATAGAAGAGGCGCTTCGAAATTGGTCGTCAGTTTGGAAGAGCGCAGTATATCTCGAGAAGACGAGGAGCATTTATAATAGTATCAAACGGCCCTTTCTGGGCCCGATTGTCGAAGGATCAGATATTTTATTTAGCTTTGTATGTAAGGGTCGTTGGTGAGAGCACAGCCAGATTTGATATACCTCCACTGGACGCTCAGCACGATATTCCTGCAGCTTCGAGATTCCTTGGGCTGACTGCGATTGTTGACGGGGACAGCGAAGGGCCATGTTGAATACTCGTAGATAGACTGCCGTGGCTTCTGACATTGACCAGATCGAGCAATGGGTGGATAAGACGCCATCTCACGGGAACTCGCAAAGGCGGGACAGTAATCACCGCTGAATTGGTAACCGGAGGAGAGGCTTATATGCCCCTATAAAGGTACTGTACGTGTTAGATGTTCTTGGCAGGACCCAGTGCCCTTTCTGGGTCCGTCCATCTCTTCTTCAGTATATGCGCGTGTACCATGCATGTCATCATGAAGGGAGAAATTGACTTTGCACCCGGGCTGTCAAACGTCGATCCCGCTTAGGTTCTGGATGCCTGAGGAAAGAACGGACAGAACCAGCCTCGGCAGCACCTCTCTATGTTTGCCCTCTTTTATGTCTGACCCGCTTCCCCTCAAGGGCTTTCGACTTGGACTCGAGGCTGATCACCCCACATGCTGACTGATACCACCTCGACCGGTCGATTCAGTAGTACTTACATCGAGGCTAAAAAAAAAGATAAGACAACACCCTTTTCAGTGGCGCAGTCCAAGATAATGGTTGACTAATTTGTCATCGCGGTCCGGGCCCCAGATAGGCATCCTAGGCCCGCAACCCACATATACCTCCTGCTCTCGCAATACAACGCCACGAAATATCCGGGCAGAGCTCGGAGGAAACTAGAATCGAGCTGCTCATCTGAGGCCCTGGTGGCTGAGTCAGGTCAGCCTTGTCAGCCTTCCAAAGTTCCTTATACTCCTCCACTTCATCTATAAAGAAGTATCCAATTTTGATGTGCAATCCCCATCGGCGTCAAACCACAAGTTGATCTCAGGGGCAAAGCGGTGGGTAAATGCAGCCTTCAAGCGGTAACATCGACGTATATACACGTCCACAGTCGTACAATCTGTGACCGTCAACCATTGTTCTTGGCGGAGGACCGGGATGGACCTCGTAATTGTGTTGGAATACGAGTAGCTGGGTCATTATCAAATTTCTCTCACCAGAAAGGGCCCTGATACGTGGATGATGGTTCTCCACGCAGAGCCAGTGATCAGTGTCAAACGAAGCGGACGAATGCACGCGACGCGACGGTAGTAGCCACATCTAGTATGATGTAATTGGTTAGGACGAGTATCCAAGTCCGAATATCGTAAGGATAGGTAGTTAAAGCCGTTGACAAGTCTGGAACTTGCGGCCCATCGATCACATAGTAAGAAGTCCCTTGCGAGCTGCGCACTGGATACCTGCATCGCTTGCTATAGGTAGCGAGGGTGAGAGCGAGCCAATCAGCATAGGGCGCTCGTAGCGTCGTTGGCTCCCCACTTTTTGACCCCCAAAAGAAGACTTGGCATTGTGGAGATCGTGATACCTCGTGATGCGCCACGAATGGAACGTAGGCGGTATAATAGTCGCATTCAATGCTCAGCCCTAGATCTCGGTGGCGCGGAGAGTCCCAGGTAAGCACTCTACCTCTCTGGCCTGCTGAAGGATCTTACGATGCAGAATGACGAGGTAGACGATAATGATGGTAACATCGTCCTCGAAAGAAAGGCCCAATGTGCCACGACCACTCTCAATTGAGGCTGCCGGAGGTAAATAGTGATTGAGTGATGCTAGCTGTTCGAAAGACAAGTAACGAGAGGGATATAGAGTGCGAAGGCAGACTCCATTGGAAAGAGACCACAAAACAAATTGTTCGCAGCGAGAACCCAACAGGGCATATATCTTGCAACGTGTCTTCATTTCTGCTCGTGCCACATCATCATCTCTTCAGTTCTATCAATACAAAACCTTCGATTTGCCGACAAATGCCACCATGTTTCGAAAGATTTTCGCCATGACGTGTCTACCTTCTTTCCCGTGTAGTGCTGGCGGTTGTCTCGACTGCATGTAGCAAAGCTCTGTTCTTCCCAGCTCAAGACGTCGGTATCGTTACCTGCGCGACTCCATCAACGACCTTAGCTACCGCCGCGTCTTCTCCGACATCAGCAACTCCATTAGCCAGCTCTTTCCCTTCCTGGCCCCCTTTCGCGCTCTTCTCAACGCCTCCAGCCGCAGTTGCAGCCGCTACCTTTTGAGCTGCTTTCTTAGCCTTGGCCTTCTCCTTCTGGGCGGCTTTCTTCGCAGCAACCTCTGCCTCTTCCTTCTTTTTCTTCTCTCTTTCCGCCTGATTTCCACCGAAATAGTCTCGCCATTCGTCGGCCTTTTTCTCGTCGATTCTTGTAAAGAGATACTCAGCTTTGCCGATCTTGTGCCCCGGCTTGATGTAGACAGGAAACCACCCATTGGCAATGTCTTCCTCGGAAGGGATCTCCAAGAATGGGCGGTCGAGTTGTTTCCGTATCGACGCACAAGTAGCAGGAAGATATGGTTCGAAGATGGCGGAGCAGAGGTAGATGAGGTTTATCACAGTGCCCACAACTGCGGCCGCAAGAGCGGGATCGCTCCCAATAAGCGAGTTGTCCAGTCGGTGAGCCTGGATCAAGCCGTTCCCAGCCTCCGCAATCTTCATGGCGACAAGGAGACCATTGCGAAGGTGTACCGCCTCCATTTCTGCGAGATACTGCTTAACAAGCTCCGTAATCTCAGCCAGGTGTTCCTTAAAGGACGAAGGTAAGTTGTTGGGATCAAATTCTGGTATAACCCCAGAGTAGGCCTTTGGGGAATTGACCAGTTTAATGACTCTGTTGACAAAATTCCCGAGTTTAGCAAGTAGCTCAGAATTGTTGCCATCGATGAATGACCGCCACTCAAACTGCGTGTCGCCTGATTCCGGTCGGTTTTTGAGCAGATAATATCGCCAGACATCCGGAGGGACACCGGTTTCTTTTGCGTTGTTTCCAAAAACACCGATACCACGGCTCTTGCTGAACTTGCCATTCTCATAATTGAGGTATTCGGTGGACGAAAGGTGGTGTAGCATGGTCCAGTCCTCCCCCGTCCCCATCTGGCACCCAGGGAATACGACAGAATGGAAGGGCACGTTGTCTTTTCCCATGAATTGATATAATTGGACTTGGTCTGGGTTCTTCCACCATTTTTCCCACTCATCTGTGTAGTTGGCAGTGATCGATGGGTAGCCAATACAAGCCTCAAACCAGACGTAAAAGACCTTGTGCTCGTAGCCAGGAAGGGGAACAGGCACGCCCCAAGCCAGATCTCGAGTGATGCCTCTCTCTTTCAGACCTTGTTTCAACCATGACTCCGTAATGACTTTGGCACTTCGTGACCACCGGCCATTCTCAATGGACCGCTTTGAAAACTCTTCGATCCGGCTTTGTAGCTCATCTAGTCGCAGGTAGGTATGTTTTGTCTCCCTCGTCACCGGAGTTGCCCCATCGACCTTGCAGCGGGGATTGATCAAGTCTAGCGGATCTAAGAGACTCCCACACTTGTCGCACTGGTCGCCGCGAGCATCGTCGTATCCGCACTTTGGGCATGTACCTTCGACAAATCGATCTGCCAGAAATTTTCCGTGCTTCTCGCAGTATGGTTGACTGTTTATGTGTTCAGTCAAATGGCCATTGGCGTGAAGTTTCAGGAAGATATCCTGGGAGATGTCGGTGTGTTGCTTGGTAGGAGTCCGTCCGAAAATGTCGAAACCCAACTCGAACCATTCGTAGATTTCGGTGTGAATCTTGTTGTATTTTGTGCACAGCTCTTCTGGTGAAACTCCTTCCTCTAGCGCCTTTGTCTCCGTGGCGGTGCCGTACTCGTCCGTCCCGCAGACGAAGAGAGTCGGTCGTCCACGGGCTTTGTTGTACCGGGCAAACACATCGGCGCTAAGCACGCTACCGACAATGTTGCCCAGATGAGGAACCTAGAGGAAGGAAGTTAGTCGCTGTCTTGCGCGCAATATCTCGATTGACTCACATTGTTAACATAAGGCAGAGCGGAAGTGATAAGAATGTTTCGCTTGCCCTCTTGGGGGAGGATCTTTTCGGAGCCCATTGTGGGCCAAGATAGGTTGATCGAGGGGGAACAGGAGTGGCGCAAGCGATTCTGAAAGTCTTTGGCGAGACGAGGCACAATATAAACCTACCGACACCCGGTTGTGCTGTGCGTTGAGTTACTTCGGAAAAGAGACGCGGGATGGTGACTGGGAGGGAGAAAAGAGTCACCAAATCCCCCACCGCCGCAGTCACAGCAGCGCAGATGGATGCCGAGGCGCTAAAATTGATGCTTATTTTTAAGGCTCTTGGGCTCATACTAAAGTCGTTGTGCGCCTTTGATTTTCCTTTGATTTCTTCCTCTCATCTGCTTCCTCCCACTTGCTGCTTATTGTCAAAGTCACGCGACTTCTTCTGGTGCAGAGCCGCTTCTTCTAGAGCCTTCTCGAAGACACCGAAAAGACATTAAGCGGCTATTCCTAATTCTGACTATTTTGCGGCATGGCTACCGATCCCTTCGATGACCTCCTCGAGCTTGAGAATGACTATTATAAGGAAGGTTATGATGCCGGTGTGGCTGATAGCACCTACGCTGGCATGATCGAAGGTAAAGTCTTTGGAATCGAGAAAGGATACGAAAAAGCTCTGGAATTGGGCAAACTACATGGCCGTGCTCTGATTTGGCGAGAACGATCATCTCTTTCAGAGGAAGCGGTACAGATGGACAATGCCAAATCGGAAACCCTTGACTCTTTAAGACTGGGAGAAGTCGTCAATAGGCTTTCACAGCTGTCCGATAACACCCGCTTCCGACGGCACATAGACGGCCTGTACACTTCTTCCGACGGCTCTACGGTTGCAAAAGACAACTCAGACGAAGCAGTTACCGAGTTTGACGACCGAGTTGCAAGAGCAAAGGCTAAGGCTAAGGTCATTGCGAATATTGTGGGCGAATCACTCAACTCAACCCCGGCCTCGAATGTAGGCATTGAGGATGCTACCGGCTTGCAAGCTCGACATTGAGCACGAATGATCTAGCTCACTGTGGATTCGAGACCTGGTTCGGAATGGAGGGCGTCGACCTTCTCGGACGAGGTCTGAGTGCTGTGTAGATACCAGAGCGGACCTGCATCGGGCGGCAGTTGTACCCCGGTGGCCTTCTGGCAGGCTTCTCCGCAAAGTGCCACCACTTTCGCTGTTCAGCTAAGCCAGTTGCCGTTTAGGCTTTACTAGTGGATATGCAACGACGATCCGCCACACTCCTTTCCGGCTTTCTCCCTCAAATCGAGAAACGACTTGCGGGGTCATCGTCAGTTTTCTCAGACCCTTTATGGCTATGGTACCACGAGAATGTTTACCACGTAGCCATGACGGTTATGCAACGATTCCTTCTCCGCATCGGTGGACTTGGCTGACGATGGGAGTCTGGTATACCCCGCAGGCGACAGGATGGATACAAAGCCTGCAACCGCTGCATTTCCTCTACGACTCCTCCCTCATCCTCAGAATACGTGTCGCACAATGAAGGCAATCACTGGCTTCTTCTCTCTGGCCTTGGCCACTGTGGCCGCGGCTCAAATTGAGCCATCAGGGGTAACAAGACCAATTGTTCAAGACTGTGGGTTCAATGGTACTGTAGTCTGTGTCAGCAAATATGTGAGTGCCTTTCTGTGCTACTTACTGGGCTGTGGCTCATGGGAACTAGGCCGCCGTATTGCCTTACCACTTTAACCGGTCTATCTCCAACAACAATGCCGACTACGACTTCCGAAACACAAGCGTGGGAAATGCTTCGACGTTTGACCTCCTTGGCGGCGCAGATTTCGTTGTCTTTGACCAAGAGCGTGGCTTGCAGTACCTAGGATCGAATCCAAGCTATCAGTTCATGTTTGCAGTCTCTAGTGCTGTGCATGAAGCCCCCGTCTATGCTCCCGAACAGAATCTTTTGTTCATCTCTCAATTGGCTCCTCCTCCCGGCTATCTGCCACAGCTCGTCGTGAACTTGAATGACGATCCTCCAACGTTGAGCGAGTACCTACCAGATCCACCGATCTATGCCCCGAATGGCGGCACCTTCCGCGATGGTCTTATCGTTTTTGGTGCGAGCGGAGGAAATGATAGTATCGGCGGAGGAGAGCAGAGAGCCTCCCTTCGAACGGTGGACCCTGCCACGAATGCCTCCACTGTGCTCTTGAATAACTACTTTGGATTCTACTTCAACACGATAGATGACTTGGCTGTCCATCCGGTCACGAGGGATATCTTCTTTACCGATCCCCAGTACAGTTGGTTCAATGCCTTGACAGACACCGCCCCGCAGTTACCGACTGCCAGTTATCGGTTCAATCCAAGCACGGGGGCCACGTTCCTCGTCGATGATACCTTGGAGCAACCCAACGGCATCGCATTCTCTCCAGACGGCGAAACACTGTACATCTCCGACACAGGCGCCGTGTCGGGAACCATCGATGGTCGGCTCGGCAGCCACGGTACTACCTTTAACACCACAGGGAAACGTAATATCTATGCTTGGGATGTGTCAAACAACGGCACCCGATTCACCAATAAGCGTGCCTTTTATCTTGCACAGGACTGGGTGCCAGATGGATTGAAGGTGTCGCAAGAGGGGCTTGTGCTCACCGGGTCGGGCCACGGTGTCGATATCCTAGACGACGTCGGCCAGCTTCTCATCCGAATTCAGACAAACTACACGGTCCAGAATTTCGCCTGGACGGGAGAAAATCTTACCACCTTGTGGCTCATGGGAAACAATGGCATCAGCAAGGTTGAGTGGAACATCACGGGACAGAGACTGGACTAACTTTGGTCGGGGCTGGCTCTCGAGACAATTTCCGCCGGCTCGACGCATTCCAGGGCAACAAGTATTCATGTACATATATGCCATGGTGTCGATCCGAAACTCTCAAATATCTAATTTGGCCGCATCCGGCGAGGAAAGTAATACCGGATGTGGGTACAATTACGAATACAATGCGGTCTCAATATCTCTTCCTGTCTTAAAGGAGACACATATTGAAGGGCCTCTGTAGGATCTATCCTGTATTTTGGCGAGCCTTTCCTTCAGGTATTTATGTAAATGATTTGATAGATCGCTCGCTGTGTAGCTCCCGATAGTTAGGTAGACAGTCTACATTCCATCCTCGCAGCGTTTGATTGATCGGCACCTCCTTTACTTTCCTGCCTTTGAGATATGTCTGTTAAAGGCCTCATCGCAGGACACGAGGGAGGGAGAGAGAGAGGGAGGGGGGGGGGGGGGAACCGTCGACATG